CTCTGTGTGTGTGTGTATGTGTGTGTGTGTGTGTGTGTGTGTGTGTGTGTGTGTTAGGTTAGACCAACTTAAGTTAGCTTAGATGAGGTTTAATTAGGTTAAATTCGATTAAATCAGGTCAAATCAGGTTAAATCAGGTCAAATCAGATTAAATCAGGTCAAATTAGGTTAAATCAGGTAAAATCAGATTAAATTCGATTAAATCAGGTCAAATTAGGTTAAATCAGGTAAAATCAGATTAAATTCGATTAAATCAGGTCAAATCAGGTTAAATTCGATTAAATCAGGTCAAACCAGGTTAAATTCGATTAAATCAGGTTAACTTCAATTAAATCAGGTCAAATTCGATTAAATCAGTTCAAATAAGGTTAAATCAGGTCTAATCAGGTTAAATTCAATTAAATCAGGTCAAACCAAGTTAGATCAGGTCAATAACCACTTCACAACCACCTACAGGGTATTCCACTGCTCTCAAGATGCCCCTATGGACCAGTTATACCCTGGATAACGTGCCACAGGGAACCATTATAAGCAAGTGGACAAGTGACGTCAGGCTCAATGTCGCCACGTCTCCTACCTGTCTCTCCTATGATCACCTAAATGACACTAATTATAAAATGACTCCACTCTTTCCCCCTCGTGAGTATTCCCTAGGTGTCGATCTCCTAGGTGTCGATCTCCTAGGTGTCGATCTCCTAGGTGTCGATCTCCTAGGTGTCGGTTTCCTAGGTAACTTGACTATATTTAATAAGAAGTAACAATGTCTCAGTAACACCTCAGCTTAAGCACCTCAGTAACACTCTCTCTACTTTCTCTTACTCAGAATTGTCAAGTAACGCGTCACTACCCGGGGTGCCATATCTAGTCAGCAATGCAGTGCCAGTTAAGCTTCCAGTGCCACGTGATTGGCTCAAGCTGATACGTGCCAAGGTCCCTGATTGGTTGGCTAAACGTGGGCCGATTAATTTCTTAAGTGGTCCTGTGTTTGATGACAATGCTGACGGCTTTCCTGACAACTTCACTGAGTTTACCAGGTAGAGTGCTGACGTGATTGTTATATTCACGTGCTGACATCACACTGGTAAAGCTGACAATATGTCCTGACACTAAGCTTAAAACAACAACAACAACAACAACAACAACAACAACAACAACAACAACAACAACAACAACAACAACAACAACAACAACAACAATAATAATAATAATAATAATAATAACAATAATAACAATAATAATAATAATAATAAATAATAATAATAATAATAATAATAATAATAATAATAATAATAATAATAATAATAATAATAATAATAATAATAATAATAATAATAATAATAATAATAATAATAATAACAATAATAATAATAATAATAATAACAATAATAATAATAATAATAATAATAATAATAATAATAATAACAACAATAATAATAACAATAATAATAATAATAATAATAATAATAATAATAATAATAACAACAATAATAATAACAATAATAATAATAACAACAATAATAATAATAATAATACTCAACAGTCCACCATCAATACCAACACACATCTTCCTTATCATCACCCAATGCAAGACGAGGCCCTCATTTGACGGCTGCCCACAAGATGACCTCCGTGCTATATCATTTATCTTCCCGGAGGTTCAATCGGTCAATAATTGCCTGGTAAGTCACATCAGGTCAGGTCAGGTCAGGTCAGGTAAGGTCAAATGCTTGTTTATTTTACTGAATGATTTAAGATAATTGTTTATGTGTTTACAGAATCAAATGAGTAACTAAAATTATTTCTTGAATCAAATGAGTAACTAAAATTATTTCTTGAATCAAATGAGTAACTAAAATTATTTCTTGAATCAAATGAGTAACTAAAATTATTTCTTGAATCAAATGAGTAACTAAAATTATTTCTTGAATCAAATGAGTAACTAAAATTATTTCTTGAATCAAATGAGTGACTAAAATTATTTCTTGAATCAAATGAGTAACTAAAATTATTTCTTGAATCAAATGAGTAACTAAAATTATTTCTTGAATCAAATGAGTAACTAAAATTATTTCTTGAATCAAATGAGTAACTAAAATTATTTCTTGAATCAAATGAGTAACTAAAATTATTTCTTGAATCAAATGAGTAACTAAAATTATTTCTTGAATCAAATGAGTAACTAAAATTATTTCTTGAATCAAATGAGTGACTAAAATTATTTCTTGAATCAAATGAGTAACTAAAATTATTTCTTGAATCAAATGAGTAACTAAAATTATTTCTTGAATCAAATGAGTAACTAAAATTATTTCTTGAATCAAATAAGTAACTAAAATTATTTTCTGAATCAAAATGAGTGACTAAAATTATTTGAATCAAATGAGTAACTAAAATTATTTCTTGAATCAAATGAGTGACTAAAATTATTTCTTGAATCAAATGAGTAACTAAAATTATTTCTTGAATCAAATGAGTAACTAAAATTATTTCTTGAATCAAATGAGTAACTAAAATTATTTCTTGAATCAAATAAGTAACTAAAATTATTTGTTTGTTTACAGAATGGCACAAATTATCTACTTGAGTTCAGCGCCAAGGTGAAAGATGTCGAATTAGTAACCGGATTGAGGTTTTATCCGAACTTGGAATTTTCAAACCGAATTTCACTTGTACTGAAAATGATAGTGGACTTATGGCAATGATGATGATGATGATGATGATGATGATGATAATGATGATAATGATGATGATAATGATGATGATAATGATAATGATGATGATAATGATAATGATGATAATGATTCTTGTTATTATTTGTATATTTTAACTAAACAATAAAGTTATTCAGTTGACTAAAAACAATTAATTATATCATTTGACTAATTATTAAGATTTTGTCTTTGATAATAATTTAAAAAAAAATCAATAAAAATGTGAAACTTTATTTGTGTTTGATTGAATCTCTGATGGAGGTGGAGAGGAAGAGGAGGAATATTTTTTTAGTTTAACAAAATTATTGGCAGAGCTTGTAGTACAGTTTGCCTATTGTGAGTAATTCAGTCAGGTCTTGACACTGAGGGTGGTTATCACTTCTCACTGTCACGCAGGACAGAGGTTCACACACAAAAAAATACATCATATTCATTAACAACTATAAATGTATAAAGGTGAGGTTCATATGGATAATGTCACTGTTCACTGCCATGCAGGACAGAGGTTCATACACAAAGAGTTGCATCATATTCATTGACACTATATATATATAGGTCAGATTCATGTGGGTAATGCCACTGTTCACTGCCATGCAGGACAGAGGTTCATACAGAAAGAGTTGCATCATATTCATTGACACTATATATATATAGGTCAGATTCATGTGGGTAATGCCACTGTTCACTGCCATGCAGGACAGAGGTTCATACACAAAGAGTTGCATCATATTCATTGACACTATATATATATAGGTCAGATTCATGTGGGTAATGCCACTGTTCACTGCCATGCAGGACAGAGGTTCATACACAAAGAGTTGCATCATATTCATTGACACTATATATATATAGGTCAGATTCATGTGGGTAATGCCACTGTTCACTGCCATGCAGGACAGAGGTTCATACACAAAGAAATACATCATATTCATTAACAGCTATAAATGTATAGAGGTCAGATTCATGTGGGTAATGTCACTGTTCACTGCCATGCAGGACAGAGGTTCGTACACAAAGAAGGAAATACATCACATTCACCAGCAGCATATATAGGTCAGTGGATCACATACATTGGAGTCATATTCTAATTGAAGACTAATCAGTGTGGGCTAGCAAATTTGGGATAAAAAGCAAGAATGTCCTCAAGCACACCTGATTCAATGAAGTAATTACATAGTTCAAGATACAATAAGTCAGGTGGCCTGAAGTCTTTGACAGTGTCACATTCAATAATATAGTGTTCAAGTGTATGCTTTAAAGGTTTATCACAAAGTTTACATGCTGAGTGTTCCGGTATGGGTACAGCGTTACTAACTTGCCAGATGTGTCTGTATCCTAGCCTAATTCTGGCCACGACTACATCACATTGTCTGGTTCTGTCCTTATGTTGGCCATACAGTACCTCTTGTTACAAAATTTGTCCTATTTACTAATGCTACAACTGTCAGGTCTCTCTGCATTTCTCACTTCTTCTAGATCAGAGTTCATGATTCTGACTTGAATGTTTTTAATTACGGCATTGGACAGACCAAGGTCGCGATCAACATTTTCTTTCTTACATGCCTCATTGGCCAGTCTATCAGCACGGTCATGATACCTGATTCCAACATGGGACGGAATCCACACAAATTCGATACGAAAGTTGTTCTCATTGGCAGTTATCACATTCCTTTTTAATATCACATGCAACTTTAGACATAGAGCCTGACGGGCTGTTCATTGATTTCAAAGCACTTTGAGAGTCACAGAATATCACCCAACCTCCATTTTCTTTGAGGTAGTCTGTGGCTAAGTAGATTCCAGTTAGTTCAGTTTGTGTTGTGCTGGCCCAGTTGTTCAGCCTTTGTTTGGTTGACACTATCATCTCTTTTTCTTTATATATTACAATTGCACAGCCTGTTCTACCTGTGTTTGTCTGCACAGAACCATCAGTAAAAGCATAACATTCACTTGATTTAATACTCTCTATGTGTCTGTTAATAGTTTCTAGTGTGACACATCTCACCACATCGGTGTTTAACATTTGCTTATTACCAACAGGAGTGTAATTAATAGGAACTGATATGTCCAGCCAAGGAGGAATGGCATTAATAGGTTCGTCTGGGGTGATTGGGACATTCAGTTTCAGGAGATCTGCAACACTTTTATGAAGCCACGCCCCAAAGAGAGTCTTTTGTGAAAGGTTGGCGAGATGGTCGGGATTACTTAGATAGAACATCAACTCAGTTTGAGTTGTAGTTTGAGAACTATTGTTCTTCAAAAGTTGACCGCAGGACAGTATGGGTAGTTGCTCTTGGGGAGCGGTGAAAGATGCTCAGGTGTGAGTTTAGT